TATTTGGTTCACTGTTCTGGAGGTTCAAGCGTCCCCTCTGGAGAATCCTAGGGCAGCCCATGGCCAGGGGCAGGGAGAGCAGAGGTGTTCTCTCATCTCTGTCCCTTCTTATAAAGCCACCAAGGTTCAACCATGGGCCTGCCCTGAGCTAGCCCTAACCTCCTTGTGGCCCAGCCACACAGCCAGCTAAGTCCCCTCCCTCTCAGTGCCTCGCAGTGGAGGCTGGACTCCAACATGGTTCCAGAGGGCCTGGACCACAGCACCTGGTCTTCAGGAAGCACCACTTTTCCTAATTCTAATTAGGGAAATCTCCTCTCTGTATCCTGTGGCTGGATTTTCACATTGAAAAATTGAAAAGATGTTATTGTCTGAAAACATTCTTCTGGCCAGGCGTGGTGGTGCACACCTGAAATCCCAGCAGCTCAGGAGGCTGAGGCAGGAGGATCGTGAGCTCAAAGCCAGCCTTGGCAACTTAGCAAGACCTTGTCTCTAAATAAAATATATTTTTAAAAGAATGAATGGGAATGCGGCTCAGTGGTTAAGTGCCCCTGAGTTCAATCCCTGGCACCAAGAAGTAAAAATTAAAAAAAAAAAAAAAAAGACGTCTTCGAGTGGATTTTGATGAGGACAGCATCCCCTCACGGCTTTAAGGAGTTGCATTAGTGAATCATGAAGTCTTCCAGATGAGCACTATTCAAAAGTCCACCCATCTCCATGGCCACAGTGGGGAACAAACCTCCAACACCGCAGCCACACCCAGACACCAGCACCTGTCTTCTCTGTGTCCTGGGTTCCCACACCTGTAACACGTGGACGAGGACAGCAGTGCAAGCCCCACAGGACTCTCAGCCAGCGTTGCCCTGAGGACGGCACCTGGACCCCCTGAAGCACTCGTGGCTGTCGGCGGTGCCGAGGCTGCCCCAGTCCAGCTCTCGGTGCACGGGAGGCTGCGTGGGACCAGTTCCAGGGTTTGTTCTCCTGAGACTTTCTCCTGGGAGACCATCGACTCCGGCTCTGACAACTGCTCTCTAGGCTTTGCTTTGTTTGTTTTGATGGAGGGCTCTATAGCTGTTTTCATTAAACCGGTTTCCCAAGGATTCCTTCTTCCGTTTCTTTGATTTCATGACTTCTTATCTCTTGCATTTTACTCTTGTTTTTCATGAATCTTTCCAAGTAGCTTCTTAAAAAAAAAAAAAAAGCAAAGCAATCTATACTTAGAGGATCCAAAAGCCTCCACTAGAGACCTTCTATAATTAATTAATGAATTCAGCCAAGTAGCAAGATATAAAATCAACACCCATAAATGAAATGCATTTCTATACATCAGTGATGAACCCTCTGAAAGAGAAATTAAGAAAACCACCCCATTCACAATAGTCTCAAATAAAATACTTGGGAATCAACTTAACAAAAGAGGTGAAAGATCTCTACAATAAAAACTACAGAACACTAAAGACAGAAATTGAAGAAAACCTTAGAAAATGGAAAGATCTCCCATGTTCTTGGATAGACAAATTAATATTGTCAAATGGCCATACTACCCAAAGTGCTATATAGATTCAATGCGATTCCAATTAAAATCCCAATGTCATTCCTTATAGAAATAGAAAAAGCAATCATGTAATTCATTTGGAAAAATAAGTGACCCAGATTAGCTAAAGCAATCCTTAACAAGAAGAGTGAAGCAGGAGACATCACAATACCAGACTTAAACTATACTTCAGAGCAATATTAACAAAAATGGCATGGTACTGGCACCAAAATAGACATGTAGACCAATGGTACAGAATAGAGAACACAGAGACTAACCACATAAATACAATTATCTCATACTAGGCAAAGGCACCAAAAACATACATTAAGAAAAGATAGCCTCTTCAACAAATGGTGCTAAGAGAATTGGAAATCTATATGCAGCAAAATGAAAATAAATCCCTCTCTCTCACCATGCACAAAACTCAAAGTGGATCAAGGTCCTAGAAATTAGTTCAGAGACCCTGCACCTAATAGAGGAAAAAGTAGGCCCAAATATCCATCACATCAGATTAGGCTCTGACTTCCTTAGAAAAATTGCAAAATATAAAATCAAGAATTAATAAATAAAATGGACTCAAACTGAAAACCTTCTTCTCAGTAAAAGAAACAATCAATGAGGTGAACAGAGAACTTACATTTTGGGAGAAAATTTTTGCCATATGCATGTCAGATAGAGCATTAATCTCCAGGATATATAAAGAACTCAAAAAACTTAATGCCAAAAATACAATCAATAAATGGGTAAAAAGCTGAATAGATACTTAAAAGATATACATTCAATCAGCAAATATATGAAAAATGTTCAACATCTCTAGTAATTAGAGAAATGCAAATCAAAACTACTCTAAGGTTTCATGGCAGTTATCAAGAATAAAGACACAGTAAGTGTTGGCGAGGATGTGGGGGAAAAGGCACACTCATACATTGCTGGTGGGACTGCAAATTGGTGCAACCAGTCAGGAAAGCAGTATGGAGATTCCTTAGAACCCTTGGAATGGAACCACCATTTGACCCAGCTATCCCACTCCTTGGTTTATACCTGAAGGACTTAAAAAGAGCAGCTCACAGCAATGGCAATGTTTATAGCAGCTCAATTCACAATAGCTAAACTGTGGAAGCAACCTAGGTGCCCTTCAAGAGATGAATGGAGAAGGAAACTGTGGTATACATACACAATAGAATATTACTCAGCATGAAAAGAGAATAAAATCATGGCATTTGCAGGTAAATGGGTAAAGTTGGAGAATATCAGGCTAAGGGAAGTAACCAATCCCAAAAAACCAAAGGCCAAATGTTCTCTCTGATAAGTGGAAGCTGATCCAAAACAGGCATGGGAGAGGCTGGGAAAAACTGAGGAACTTGTATTAGGCAAAAGGAAGGGAGGGTAGCGAGGATTCAGTGGGGCAGGACAGATGGTGGAATGAGATGGACGTCATTATCCTAGGTACATGTGCACATATGGTGTGACGCTACATGTGCATAACCAGAGAAATGAAAAGTTGTGCTGCAATTGTGTATAGTGAATCAAATGTATTCTGCTATCATATATACCTAACTGAAATAAATAAACTAATAAAAAAATTTAAAAAGCAAAAGCTGTACAGCCTCGGCTGCCCGTCTGCGTCCTCAACACAGAGGCTCCTGTCCGAACGGTCCAGCCAGCACAGAGGTCTGGGCGGCATGTCAGATGAGGAGCAGAGAGGGAAACTGAGGAAGCGCAGGCTTAGGAGGGGTGAGAAAGCACTTTTCATCTACACAGGAGCTGCTGTTTAGGAAAGGTGGTTTTCTGGCTCTGGGATTCTCTGAATGCAAAACCAGAAGAGGTTGGAATTGAAAAGCACCCCTTCCTTCCAACTAGAGCCTCTTCAGAACCGAATGGGATACCTTTGGAGCTGAAGAGCATCCTAGTGATCCACTTTCTTCCATTCAATGAATATTTATTGAGGGCCTACTGTGTGCCATTCTAAATGTTGAGGATACATCAGAAAATAGACAAAAGTCTTTGCTCTTGGGATGTTTATATTCCAGTAGGGGCAGGGAGACAATAAATAATAGCAACAAATTAGTAATTACATGTGCATCTATCATACCTATGTATGGCTATGGGAGAAGGTGAAAGGGGTGGGGAAGGAGTAAGAGAGACATGAGGACATGGAACGAGAGAGGCTGCTTTAAACGAGGGCCTTAGGGTAGCTCGGCCTCAGTGGGAAGGGACTGCGTCAGTCAGGGTTCTCCAGAGAAGCAGATCATAGAGATGGACAGAAGGAGATTTGTCCTGAAGGACTGGCTGAGAAACCCTGCAATCTGCCACCTGCAAGCTGGAGGTCCCGGAGAGCCAGGGCGGCTGACCTCCAGGGACAGGAGGAGATGTGTCCCGGGAGGCAGAGGGCAGTTCACCCTCCCTGCGTGCTCTTGGCCTCTGCACTCTGCCCGTGGGGTGGACGGCGCCCCCTGCACTCCCGACTCAGTCTGTCAGTTAAACCGCTGACTTCTTCCAGAAACTCATCCTGAGATACAGATGGTTCTGACAGCTCCCTTTGCCCAGGAACTGACACTTGAAATCAGCCATCACAGTGACATGTGAGCAGACGCGGGGACCACGAGAGGGAGCAGTCCTGGGAGAGGAAGCCTCGTAGAGGCCTCAGGTGGGAGGCGCCAGCAAGGCCTCTCTGCAGGCTCTAAGCTAAGCCTGGAGCACACTGGACGGACATGAGCAGATCTCTTTCTGCCTCCGCATGAAGTACTACATGACCTCTAAGGTCTGTTCCAGGTCGTTATGTGCCCTGAGCTTCCGGCGCTCTGACAGGCAGGCGGCAGGGAGCAGGGTGGGTGCCAGAGCAGGGCCAGACCAGGGCTCACAGATCCCGATGGTGAGGTGCCCAGACAGGTAGCACCAACACTTAAAGGACTGGCAGTGGACTCAGATATTTCTGGAAAAGTATTATATGAAGCAAACAAAACCTGATTGTGGGCCAAATCTCGCCCGGCTGCCACCAGTTGGAAGCCTTTGCATTAGAGAAGATAAAATCAGCTAAGAGTGCCGGGCACAATGTGCATAGGGAGTCTTGGACAGGAGTCAAAGAGAAGAAATCGGTGACATCAGAGAGTTTAATGACCATTGTTCCTTTGTGACAATTTGACAGGGAACCAAGAGGGAAGAAGAATCAGATTCTTGTGTGGTTTAGACCCCAGGAGGCCACTGCTCGCTGACTCTCCCTACTTATCATCAATGGCTAGATATCAGTCTGTCCCCCCACCCCGCCCCCCACTGTGGTATATACATGTGCATGTGGCATTTAGGAACTGGGAGCCCAACAGAGAGAAAACACAAGCTGGGTACCATCTCCACTGCTGTGTGTCTGTGTGTTGCCATAGCAATGGGGTCCCCAGCAGAGGCTTGGGACGCCCACCTGCGGCAGGTGGCCTTGGTCTGAGTGTGACGTGTCCCTGCTTCCTTCCGGCAGGTGCCTTCATCTGCAAGTTGCTGCCCTTTGTCCAGTGCACCGCCGTTGTGACGGAGATCCTCACCATGACCTGCATTGCTGTGGAAAGGCACCAGGGACTTGTCCACCCTTTTAAAATGAAGTGGCAGTACACCAACCAGAGGGCTTTCACAATGCTAGGTGAGGCCATGTGCTGAGCTGGTAGGGCTCAGGGGACCATGTGCGTGCCCTGGAGGGACGCACCCCGGGGGCCTGCAAGCTCTGAGTGCCCGAGGTCTGCAGCCCCCCGACCTGTTTGCCTCTAGCCCCCCATCTCTCCTCAGGCCTGTCCCAACACTGACTTCCTGGGGACACCTCTCAGGCAAACTTAACTCCCACTCCTCTGTGGAAACCCACCAGAGGCCGTGCCTCAACCTTTAGCACCCCAGCTGTCAGCCTGCGGTGAAAGGCACCCAGCTAACAAGGGCAGGCAGGTCCCCAGGGGGCAGGGGACAGGAGGGCTGCCAGAGGTGCGCCTGGTGGTGAGTGCTCAGCAGGAGGCTTTGGCTGTGAGAGAGCAGAGTGGGTCCTGGATGCCCAGTTGGCTCCAGCTGCTCCCGATTAGCTGCCACGGTGAACGTGCCTCATGCCAAGTGGCACATTTGAAGTGCGTCCTATTGCCTGGCACAGTGACTTGGGAGAACTTCCCCGCTCAGTCATCCATAGCTGGATGAGCTTCGCACTGATGGGATTTATGCTGCTAAATCAACAGAGGCCCAGGAAGCAGCCGAGTGGGCATCAGAGAGAGCAAGTTTCACTACTATATCAAGTGAAAGGTGTCACCAAGCACTTATTTCTGCTATGACAATTTAGTTAGTATTGGATTGTGGAATTACAGAAGGGATTCCTGAGGGCTTTGCAATCCTAAACTTATCTTGAATAATTGGAAATGAATGGATGAATCAACGGGGAAAATCCATTAGTTTCAGTTATCTTCAAATTTATGCCATGTCTTTCCTATGAAGATTCAAAGATCTCTGGGCTTTTGATAACTGACCACCTTGTAGCATTAAAATATGTGAAGTGGTGTGGTGGGGAGGTGGACGAGGAAAGGACACACGGAGGCAGTCACCAGGCGGGAAAGGGAAAGAGGAGTTGGGTCTCGACACACGGAGGCCACGCTGACAGTGGGCCCGAAGCAGACCAGCTCCAAGGTCCTGGAGAGCAGCAGGTCCTATGGTCAGAGGCAGCCGGCCATGGGACCCTGCTGCCTGACAGCTCCCCACAGGTGGTTTCTCTGCCAGTGAACCAGCCCTGTCAGTCACACCTGGGTGCCTGGCCTTGTGCCTCCTCCTAGTGATGCTGCCCTCCCAGGCCCCAATCGGGGACCTCCCAGAAGTGGTCCTGGGTTGTGAGCCTGTCCCTCTCACCCTGCACCTTCCATCCTGGGCTAGTGGGGGGGGACACTGGGCAGCTCCACACGACTAGAAACGAATAGACTGGGGGAGGCTGGAGTGCAGAGAGGCTCCCGAGCCCCAGGGCCACCTGGGATCATTAGGTGGGGAGGACCTCTGCCCAAGGTGCCAGTTCCTGGGTCTCCTCTAACAACCTGGTGCCGCCCGAGTCTCGGCTTCTTGGAACCCAAGGAATGTGCTGTCTTATAATGACTCGCCCAGTGAAAGAAAGCCAGAGTTTGATTTTCCCCAAATCAAAGATGGCCCTTGGTTTGGCCTCTTCTTGATTTGTTAATATTCCTAGGCTGAAATGCTCCTGGGTAATGACACCGTTTTTCTTCTTTGCTGAGAGCCTATCAGTAAGGTAACTCCTCTCAACAAACTCACAATGGGGGGCAGGGTATTTAGAAAGGGCGGCTGGTTTCTAAAGTCACAATTAGGTGTTTCCTGGATCAGAAAAACAGTGTCCAGGTTATGTGGCCTAACATAACGCAGTTTAGATTCAAGAAGAGAAGGTGGACGTGGCCTAGGGCCGGTATGGAAGTGGCTAGTCTGTTCAGCAGACATGGGTCAGCGCCCACCGAGGGCCAGGAACTTTCCCTGGAATTTATTTGGGGCAACAAAACAGTAAGTGGATCGTCCTCGACCACGGATGGACGGTGAGGACTGGCTGGCCAATGCTGATACGCGCAAGGGGGCAGTGCCAGGGGTGTGGAGCAGGGGGCCTGTGTGGAGGAGGGGCGGGGGTGGAGCAGCAGGGGGTGTGCATGGAGCAGCAGCAGCACACAGGGGCATTGAGCAGGGGTGAGCGTGGGGCGGGGTGGAGCAGCAGAGTCGGGGTGTGGAGCAGGGCGTGGAGTAGCTGGGGGTGTGTGTGGAGTAGGGGTGTGCAGCACAGGGGTTCCTGGAGCAGGGGGCGGGGCGCTGGGGTTCAGGAGGCAAACCAGCTGTGCTCGGTCCTCACTAGAGGACTCAGAGTCCGTGCCCAGAGTCGGGTTTACCTTACAGACAGGAGAACCTTATTAAGGAGTTTTGACATTTAAAACTGGTCGAGGGGGCCAAGGGTTGAGAACCCATGAGCCCACTGCGCTGCCCAGGGCAGGGGAGGCGCAGGGTGGTCGCGGGGCGTGGTGAACAGGGAGTCCTGGTGGCCCACCCTCAGCGCCTGTGGTCCTCTCAGCAGAGCCCCTTCTGATGACTTCTGCCTTCTGCAGGTGTGGTCTGGCTGGTGGCGGTCATCGTGGGCTCCCCCATGTGGCACGTGCAGCAGCTGCAGGTAGACTGGGGGCTGGGCTGGTGACGGATTGTTGAGCCATTTCTCACCCCTCTTAATTGCAGTCATTTTCTTTCCTTCAAGAGCATTGCAGAAAATTTGTGTGACCTCAGTTATTTCACAGGAAGTCTTTTAACCCGAGTAAAATAAGACTCCCCCACTCTGCTTTATCCAGCTCTTCTTGATATTGTGGAGATTTTAATTAAAAAAAAAACATTTTTAAATTTACAAGGTCACTTAATGCATTCCACAGCAAGGTGAGCATGCTGGTGTCTCTCCATGTCATGCTGCATTTTAAGAGTTCAATGATTGCTTTAGATTTTTCTTATATTTTTAAGTCACATAAAATTTGTTTTTAAGATTGTCTACTTAGTTCTTTCTTACCTGCCTCTGCTCATTGACAAATTGAAACTGGAAATATGTCAAGGGATCATCTCTGACTTCCCTCCCACACCTTGTCCGACAGGCCCACCCGGCCTGGGCTTCAGGGAGAAGGGAGCAGTGTTCATTGCAGGTGGCCCAGCCTGTGGCTGTGCCTCAGTGTGTCCTGCACAGGGAGCCTAGCACAGGCGGGCTTCAGGGACAGGATGTGCACAAGGCAGCCTTTAAAGGGACATGCCCTTTGTGCTGTGAATAGAGGTAGGCAAACGTGAAACTTTAGGGCCAGCAAGGATGTCAAGTGGGCCCCAAGATAATGGCACAGTTGGAAAGTAGCCAGTGCTTTTGGGGTTATAAGTAGCTGTGCTGAGTGGGCTGGACTGTGTGGGTGAGAGCACAAAGCCACTTCGTTCCATCTCTTGCTGCCCGAGTGGACCCCACAACTCCTCCAGCCACTCGGGTGATATTTTCCTCTGGTCACTTTCAGCCCCTTGTCAAACACCATGTCCGGAGACAGTCACATCACTCATACTTGCAGTCATTTAAACGTTGCCTTTCCCTCCGCTTGGAGTGATTTCAGGCCCAGCGCTGTGAGGGGCTGTGGTCAGCACCTTCTCTGCCCGCCTCCTGTCTCTCTGCCACGTCTCTCTGCCACCTCTCTCCTCGGGAGCCCACACAGAGGGTGGGGGATGGAGGGCAGAGGTCCCCTGAAGGTGGTGCCCTCTGGGGATGGCTGTGGCCTGTGATGGACTCTTTGGTCCCTGGGTCTCCCCAGGATACCAGCACTGAGGCTTCTGATGGCTTCCCTCTCCAGCCAGCTGCTCAGGAAGACCCCTCATGGCCACGCAGCTTGGACCACAGCTCTTGCAGCTGACCTACCCTTACCTCAGCAGGAGACCCAGGACGTCAGCTCTTCCCTGCTGTGGCCAAGTACTCAGAAGAGCCACTTGGGCTCACACTTTCAGGGGTTTCTGTCAGACAGCTCCGTTGCTCTGGGCCTGATGTAAGGCAGAGCATCATGGTGGAAGGGAGTGGCCCAGGGAACCTTGGAAGCCAGGAAGCAGAGCGAGAGCCAGGGACAAGGTACAGTCCCCAGGGGCACTAAGGACCCACTCCTTCCAGCCAGGTCCCTCCTGCTGCAGTGTCCACGTCTCCTGGTACTCCCTTCAGCTCCGAGGACCTCGGTGGGTGATCTGATGAGGAGGTCAGGGCCCTCGTGGTCCAGTCCCTACCCCAAAGCCCCACCTCTGGCCACTGCCGATCAGGCCAGCCCTTGAGCACCTGAGCCTTTGGGGGGTGTTCCCTGTGCAGACCACGACCTGGAGTGCATTTCTAGCCGACGGGAGAAAACTGGGTCTACCAATCTCTTCAATAAAGTCATCTTATTGTGTACTCTAAATGGATTTTAATGTCCTTTATCTAGTTTGAGAGAATGTGTACTGTGTGATCTAATTGGCAAAGCTGCCCTGTCGAACCCAGATCAGCCAAATCAGGTTTGCCTCCTGTTCTGTTTCATTCTTAGTGCATTAGTAGGGCCACCTTCTTGCTCCTGGCTTCCACGGGGGACGGGCAGCAGCTGTCTCAGCACTGCTCCCGAAGTTCTGGGCCTTGCTGTCTGGCGGCCTCCCAGGAGTGATGTCTGACAGTTTCCGGGACCTGGAAGCAAGGAGGTGATTAAATCAAAGCCACCGTCCCTTCTGCCCCCTCACTGTGACCTGTGAATTCACAATGCCCCAAAACTTGTCAAAATACCATCTCCCCAAATGCCAGGCCTTACCCTGAACAGAAACAGGCTTTGACAGGGAAGCGAGAGGTCCTGGCATGGCTCCACTGCCTGGTCCAGGGCTTCACTGACGGCCACCATTGGTGCTCCGTGTAGATTTGAGTAGGGAGAGGGTAATTATGAAAGAGGAGGTGAGAATGTGGGCCCAGCATGTCCCAGTCCCAGGACCAGCCAGAGCAGTGGAGGACCTGGTACTGGTGTCACAATCCCATCCAGGTGTGCTGTTGGAAAGCCTGGGCTTGTCCCAGTGCTGCAGAATCCTGTGTGGAGGCCACCAGTCTCCCATGTAGCAGTGGGATGTGTTGGGAGGTATCCCCCTTGACCCTCTAAGGTCTGCTACCTGAAGTTGGAATGGATTTCCTTTTTTAATCCCATTCCTGGGGAGAATTTTTCCCCCACTAAAGGTTACTGTTCCTCGTTGTATTCCCTCAACACCTGGATGAGAACTTAGATTTTCTTACCTTTTCAACGGATGTTGATGATTAGTGACAGAGTTTGCTGGGGGTGCAGGCAGAACATGCCTGATACCTAAGTATTCACCCGGAACACTCCAGGGTGATCAAAGTGGTTTTGACAGTTGGACAAATTCCCTCATTTTTATTCCTGTCACTCAGACATGACTTTCAAATGTGCTATAAACGTTTAGTTGGTCCTGAAACGAGCCCTTTTAGTAACCATTGACGTTGTCATGGTTCCTAATAATGTTTTTGAACGTACAAGATGAGTCTGCCAGAAACAGTATGAACACGACGGCAAATAAATACAATCGGACAGGAGTTTGAATCCAATTTGCTTTTTATCTCAAAATTGACCAGTTGCCCTTTTTGATCTGTTTCCAAGCAACCGGATCATTCTACTATGAGACTAGTAAAACATGTGGCTCTCAGCCTCTTGCTAGGAAGAAGTCTGAGGACTCCCAGGTCTGTTTCCTCAACAACTAAGAAAGAAAAGTCTAATTGATTGGTTCGGTGAATATTGAGCTAGCTGGCATCTGATGCAAAATGTTTTCAACATGAACTTTATTAATTGTGCTTTTTCCAGCCAACTGAAAACTCGTAGCCAGGGGAAACAAAAGTTGAGAAAGACAAAAAATGAAAATAAAAGCACAAAACTCTTAAGAACTTGAGCACTTGTGTGGAAAACACTTCTAACCAAGCAGTCATGGAAAAGTGATTCTGGGGGACCCGCACAGCGGGTGTCTGGGGGGCTGAGCAGGGCTGCGGTGTGGCTGCTGGCTCTGGGCCGCGTCTGTCCTGTGGGTGCAGATGCTGGTCCTCTTGACCGTGTCGTTTTTCTGCCAAGATCAAGTACGACTTCCTGTACGAGAAGGAGCACGTGTGCTGCTTGGAGGAGTGGGCGAGCCCCGCGCACCAGAAGGCCTACGCCACCTTCATCCTCCTCATGCTCTTCCTCCTGCCCCTGCTGGTCATGCTGGTCCTCTACAGCAAAATCGGCTACGAGCTTTGGGTCAAGAAAAGGGTGGGGGACGGCTCCGTGCTTCGGACTATTCATGGGAAGGAAATGTCCAAGATCGCCAGGTGGGTCCCATGCTACATTCCTCTCTAAGTGCTTTTCCTCAGTTATGCTGGGGTGGGACATTCGCCAGGGCTCCCAGAACCCCTCGTGATTTACCAACTCAGATTTAGAGCCTGGCTGGCCTGTAACCCTGAGGTTTTATGAGATTGTGCGTGAGGCAGGAAGAGCAAGATTGCCTGCTCTGAGGTCAAAACAGGCACTGTGGCTGTAGATAGAAACATCCCTGGGATTGGGCACACCGCTACATTTTTATCTATGTGTGACGATGGCGTGGCCGTAGCTAAGGGCTGGTGCCAGGACCTGTGGTCCCCGGGGGTCTGCCCTGAAACTCGCCAGCTGTCATGAAGACCAGCACCTGGAGAGCAGGTCCTGCTCTCCCCAGACGTCCGAGGGGCCTGCACAGCCCATCCTTAGGATGTCCCTCACATACATCAACAACGTGTAACGGTGCTTTGAAACTGGAGCACGTTATTTTTAAAAATTAGTATTATTAATATTTTATTTGTACCTGAAGTCTGTACTTTTGGGTTTTATTCACGCATAGCAATTTTAAGACACAGTTTACTGGTATGGTACGTGCAGTCCACATATTTTATCTTACCATCTCTACTTTATGACTGCTGGAGCAGTACATGGAGAGGCCTGGCTATTCCATGGGTTCCACGGGGCCAGGTGTGCAGTGCCCTCTAGTGCCCATCTGTGTAAAGACCTTGCTCCCTGGACGTAATAAAGGGTTGCATGTTTGTTCCGTCCTCGGGCTCACACATTTCATAAGGATTTACAGTTTCCTGTCACGGGTATGAATGCTTTTCAACATGCCGTGAATAAAAGCTAGACTGCCTAAATTCAAATCCAGAGTGCCCCCCCACTGGCCATCTGACTCTGCAAAGTAGTTCAGCTTCTCTGTGCCCCTGGCTGCATCTGCCCGGGGCTTGTTGGGAACTGAGTGGCATGTTGTTGCTGATCACTGGCCGAGCACCAGCCCACAGTGAGCACAGGCTGTAAGGGATGCCACCAGCTGGACACCTTTGCCGGGCAGAATGACGACCCGTGTTTCCCTGTGGGTCCAGGAGGAAGAAGCGAGCCGTGGTTATGATGGTCACCGTGGTGGCCCTCTTTGCCGTGTGCTGGGCGCCATTCCACGTCGTTCACATGATGAATGAGTACGGTGAGTGTCTGTGCTGGGCGAAGGGCTTTCTCGCTTGAGGGCTGCTAATGGGTGATGAGTCACTGGGATGTGTTCTCTCCACTCGGATAATCAAATGCCCGACATGGAATGCAGGACCTTCCTGGGAAGGACCGCCAGTCAGTCAGTGACAGGCAATCAGGCACCACTGTGACCAGGCTGTCCCTGATTACAGAAGACAAAGAGACGCTTTGAGACTCTTCTCCCCGGGACCCGTTGCTTCTCCGTCTTTAACGTGGGCGAGGTGGCACCTCATGGACCTTCTTCATTTGGAGCTGGCCTTCCCGGCATAGTGTCCTAAGGCCGAGGGTTCCAGCCAGACCCTCAGGGAGTCCTCCCTGGCAACCCAGGCTCCAGTGTGGGTCTTGGTGTGATTGTGTTCCTGGCACACCAGCAAGCATTCACAGGATGCTTGGAGCATTGGGTTGAATGACAGTCCCCGTGATAGGCACCAGGCGACGTGTGCACGACTGTTTCCCAAGAATGCAGCCTCGTCCCAAAGGTCATAAGATGCCAGGTGCCTCCCCAAGTGCTCTGGAGGCTTGTGGGCTCTGCCCCTTATGTGAATGTAAGTTTGGGGTGAAGGCGGGCCAGGAGCAGCAGTCTGTTTTATTCGTGGTAAAACAAGCATTCTGCTTTATTTCAGGTGATTTCGAAAAGGAGCACGATGAGGTCACCGTCAAGATGGTCTTTGCCATCGTGCAAATCATCGGCTTTTCCAACTCCATCTGCAATCCCATCGTTTACGCGTTTTTGAACGAGAACTTCAAAAAAAACTTCTTGTCTGCAGTTTGCTGTTGCCTAGTAAAGGAACCCTGCTCCCCAGCGCAGAGGCCTGGGGACTCGGGGGTCACCATGACGCGGAGGAAGGCAAAGCCATGTGGGAGGCAGAACCCCGTAGAGGAGACCAGGGCGGAAGCCTTCAGCGGCGGCCACATCGAGATCAAGCTGTGCCAGCAGCTGCAGGGCCCCAGGGGCCTCAGGCGCCCGCTGGCCCTCCTCAGCCCCGAGCTCTTGGAGAGTCCTGCTCTGGGCAGTGGGCATTAATGGGGTGGCTCCCGGGGTCAGTGTCCTGCAGATTGCCATCTCAGGTTATTTTGAGCCATGGTCAGAGACTTTATTTTTAAAATGATGGCAAGAAGGAAAATCAATTTTTCCAGTTAAACTTACCTTGTACATGAAGACGCGATTTTGAAAAAGTATTAGAGCATCCTGGTGATCATTAAGGTGGTCTTTTAACTGTCGTGTACAATGACCTTTGTTCATGGCTAGCGTGTCCCTGAGCAGTCAGTGGACTGTGACTCTCTGTGAATTGCTGCACCTTCTTCCTTGACCACCAGGTTAACCGGTGGACGCCACGCTGGACTGTTCGTGCCCTGGTGGAGTTGGTGTGGTCTTTTGCACATGAAGTCTGTGCCATCAAGTCAAAGAAGATGGAGAATCAGCGAGACCCAGGGGCGATGCCTGTGTTGCCGCTTCTTGTAGCTGTGGAGGGACCACTCTCTGGTGGTGGCTGTCACCTAAACTCTTTGTCTCCCTGTGTTCCCTCCCTACTGCAGTCCCTGGGAGCGCAGTGTGGAGAGGGTGGGAAGGCCCCTGTCCTGAGCTCCTGGGCTCTGCGGCCTGACCCTGCTCTTGTGTCTCATGTCCCCTGAGGTCTTGCCCTGCACAACTTCCCTGTGTCTGTTTTATAACTTGTGTCTCTGCTTCAAAGAAGAGTTGGGGGTCCCATTTGCTGATGGACTGTGAAGTATCGAGACCCCTCTAACAGTCTCCACTAGTGTTTCTGCCCCTTATTTTCACTAGCAGAATGCAAGACTTTTCCTACATACAAGAGATTTTCTGCGTAGGAAGTAGACGAGGGAGGGTCCACACCACGCCTGAGGGATTTTGCTGTGCCCAAGGCTGACACCCAGAGCTGGGTCAGGTGGGGAAATGGAGTCCCCATTCATGTTCCTTCCCTCAGCCTCCTCGAACCCAATCACCTTCTCTCCAGAATTCCGACTCCTGACTGTCGGGAACCCCAGGCCACCATAGGGCCCCACATTTCCCCTTTAACGTCTGTGATTCCCAGAGTCCAGTGTCCGCCTCATGGCCAAGGAGGCTTTCTGCCCCAGTTTTGCAGCATCCACTCATCCAGCGGGGTAAAGGGAAGGAAGGGAAGTCCAGCAACTCTCAGGGCCTTTTAGGATTTGAGCTTTAGGATTTGGGAACCAGAGAACCTAGGCCATTCAAACCCTCGAGTTACCTTTGACTTCATGTGTCGAAGCATGTGTGAAAAAGACGAGGAAACCGTGTGGTGGTGGGAGCCCTGCCGAGGAACTATGGGAAAGTAAAGCAGAGGAGGTGGATCGCGTGATTAACTGCCTGTCCTGCCTAGTTGTCCTGTGAAAAGACACTGTCATTAAACACTGAACCATGAGAAGTGGGTCAGAGTCACTGATGTGGGAATAGTCATGACTCCAGGCCTGGTGCACACGTGCTCCCTATTGGACGGTGAAACATGGCTGGATCAACAGCGCTGACCTTTTCATTATTAGTTTTAAACTTCTTAAGCCTTGCAGAGCTTGGTCTAGAGACATGCAGGTGTTAGGTGACAACAGACGTTCACCTCTGCTCACGTTTGTGTGAGGTAGAGGCACAAGTTGTCCTGGAAGCTGTCCTGCTCCTCCTTGACACACACACTCTCCTTGCTCTGTTAGAAAAGTTCAGGGAGGAGCAACGTGGGGCCTGTGTCTGAGAATTTACTTCTATTGGCCGGAGGTCTGGGCCCCGTCTGGACCCTGAGTGGGGAGGATGGTGGGGAGGCGTGGGTTTGGAGGGGCCCCTGAACTGGGCGGACACCGCCCTTCTCCCATCTCCCAGCCTCCCAGTGCCTCTCAGCCCTGTCTTCTGCCCCTGCAGTGCTTCCCCATTGGTTCTCCTCTGCGGACCTCACTCATTTCACCCACCTGGTTTTCCTTTATCTGGGGCCTGGAGTGAGGACTACAAAGGTTTCCTGGGATCCAGGATGTAGGACTGAGGTACAGAAAATCGTCTTCCATGTATCGACATGGGGTAAGACATCAATGAAAGCAGGAAAAAAGGTCTGTTTCACTGCTCAAACCTACAGTATGAATGTTGAGAGCCACAGCCGAAGGGGCCCCAGCAAACTTCCAGCTGCCCGCTGATTGGCTCCTCTGCGGTGATGCTCATTGGGCTGTTTCCCTGCCCTTTCAGACCATGGAGCTGCTCATTGGGGGACTTTTTTGGCTCCGCCCACACCACCCAGCCAATCAGCCTCAAGAGCAGGAGGAGTGGGGAGGTTGAGAGGCTGGTGGAAGCCGGTGGTGGCAGTTGGGCTCTGAGGGTTGTTCCTGAGGAGCTGTGTGGTTTGGCGTGTGGTTCTAAAATAAAGTTCGTTTCTTTGACAAGTGGCTCCTGAATTGTGCCCAGCCAGACTGCAGCATTTGGTGGGTTGCACGGGCAGGGACTGAGGGTAAGTGATAAGGTAAACTGCTCATTCCTGAGGGCAGGGCGAGAGGAGGGGAAGCCATTTTAAGATTCCTCTTTTGTTTTGCTTCACTTTTGTTTTAAGTTGCCTGTCCCTGGAGATGAGTGAGACGGAAGAAAAACCACTCACATCTGAGGAACAGATAGGGAGAAAGGACGGATGGACATTTCAGGAGGATAGAAAGGCTGATAGAATGATTTTTTGTTGTTTCATTTTTGTTTCATTCTGTCTTGGTTTTGTTTGGCGTCATCTTGTTGGGTTGTATTATAGTAGCAATATGGGATCAGAAATTAGTAAGAAACAAACCGAAAAGTGTTAAGTAAATTGTTAGAGGAAGGAGGCTTCCCAGTAAAATCAAGAGCCGTCAGGGCATACGTTGATACAATACAAAAATGTAGCCCATGGCTTTTTAAGGAGGAGTTGTTGAATATATCACAATGGGACCATCGTGGTGAAGATTTAAGGGAAAAGGAAAAGAAAAACCCAGGGACTCTGCCAGTTGGCACATTGCCATTGAGGATGATGATATGATTTTGTTTGCTCAGTTCAAACCTTTCAGTTCAGATTATGGTAGAGGAAGGAGAAGACATATTGATTCAAGTAAACGAGGAAGGTCTCTCAAGTTAGTCAGACAGAGGAAAAGATTCAAGTTAAAGAGAAGGTCTCTCGAGCTGGTCAGAGGAAGAAAGTTTATAGCAGAAAAAGCCATCAGGGGAAAAGTTACAACAGGAGACTGTTACTAACACCTTTCTGTCACCAGAGGGCACAAGTGTCCAACCAACAGCGCCACCTCCATATGCTGGGAGGCCCCCCCATAGTTGATAGATGGGATCCTGAGACAGGACCTCAAATATTAACATGCCCTGTACTTGAGCAGGCAGGAGGACAGTGAATTTAACATGCTTTAGATTTCAAAACAGTGAAGCAGCTAAAAGGCTGTAACAACCTATGGTCCTCAAGCACCCTTCACTGTAAGCATGGTCGAATCCATTACCAACTTGAACATGACACCAGCAGGTTGGGCTAGTATGTGTAAAGCTGTGCTAAATGGAGGACAATACCTGTTATGGAAGGTTGCCAATGAGGAATTTTGCAAGGAGACAGCTAGGCGAAATGCAGCAGCTGGTTATCCTCAGAGAAATCTAGATATGTTGTTAGGAAAGGGACCTTATGAGGATCAGCAGCAATAAATTGCATATGATCCTGGCATATACTCACAAATTGCTGCAGATGCGGTTAGGGCATGGAAGACTTTACAAGGACATGGAGGTTTACAAGGTCAATTATCTAAGGTAATACAAGGAGCTAATGAACCTTACACTGAATTTGTAGATAGGCTTATTCAAACAGCTACCAGAGTTTTGGGGAATACATAACAAGCAATGCCATTACTAAAACAACTGGCTTATGAGCAAGCAAATCGTTGGTGCAGAGAGGTCATTAGACCATGGAAACATGAAGATTTAAACACATATATTAAATTATGTAGCGACATTAATGAACAAGGGCAAGTCGTGGCAGCTGCAGTACAACAGGTTTTAGATGCCAGGCCAAAAACATGCTACAATTGTGAACAAACAGGACATTTTAAAAGGAGTTGCCCCATAGGAGGAGGGTTTTACAAAACTAGATATTAAAGGAGTAGAATACCGGGTATTTGCCCACGATGCCATAGAGGGAGACATTGGGATAATGAATGCCATTCTCAAACCACCATAGAGGGTACTCCATCATCAAGAAATGAACAAGAACCAGGTGTCCATCCACGATATCATGGAGAAAAGCATTGGGTTCCATTGCCAAAAAATGGACAGGGGGGCCCAATGCTCTGGGGCCCAAGACCACAAATATACGGGGCACTGGAGGAACCTAGCAACCCCATCAGGGTGGTGCCCAGGACACATTGTCCATTAGATGCCTCACTAGACAAACCAGAGGAAGTGCAGGTTTGGACATCTGCACCTCCACCAGATCAGTACTAACTCTAGACATGGGAGTTCAAATCATTCCCACAGGGGTAAAAGGACTTCCTCCCAAAGGAACAGTAGGCTTATTATTGGGATGCGGTTCTTCTATTCTAAAAGGACTTATGATAAGTCCTGGGGTAATTGATCCCGATTATGAAGGTGAAATAAAAATTATAGCCAGTTCTCCAAAGGGTATATCAGTAATTTCACCAGGAGATAGAATAGCACATTTACTAATAATACCCAGCCTACATGATAAATTTTCCAGTCTTACTGTAGAAAGAGGTTCCAGGGGATTAGGCTCCACAGGTGTAGATTGGGCTATGCTTTCTTTAAATTTAGATTCTCGCCCCATGCTAAAACTAAATATTCAAGTACATGAATTTAATGGGCTACTGGATACAGGTGCAGACCTTAGCATCATCTCTCATCAAGAATGGCCAAAACATTGGCCATTCAAGCCACTCAAACGCTTCGAGGCCTAGGAGTGGCAACTAATCCCCATAGAAGTGCAATGGTATTAGATTGGAAGGATCCTGAAGGATGTGAAGGAACTATTCAGCCATATGTATTGGATCATCTTCCCGTAAATTTATGGGGACGAGATGTCCTAGATCTATTAGGACTAACATTAACAAATAACATCAATTCAAATGTGTCCACTATTATGGCTAGACAAGGTTTTAGGAAAGAAAAAAGTTTAGAGAACAAGAACAAGGTATAGCAGCACCAATCAAATAGATCAAGGAACAGACAGAATTGGATTAGATTTTCAGGAGGGGTCACTGAGACAATAAAAATTACTTGGAAATCAGAAAGACCAGTATGGGTTCCTCAGTGGCCCCTGACTAAAGAAAAGATACAAGCAGCCCATGACCTGGTCAAACAACAATTAGCAGAAGGACATATACAACCTTCTGTATGTCCCCATAATATTCCCATTTTTGTCATCAAAAAGAAATCTGGTAAATGGAGATTATTGCAAGATTTAAGAGCCATTAATAATGAGATGGTTATTATGGGACCTGCTCAATTGGGGATTCCCTAATTGTCTGCTTTCCCAAAAACCTGGTATGTTTTAGTTATAGATATTAAAGATTGTTTTGTTTTTCAATTCCAACTCATCCTGAGGATAGTCCACGTTTTGCATTTACTATCCCTGCACTGAATCATGAAGATCCTGATCAGAGATATGAATGGAAAGTACTCCCTCAAGGGATGGCTAACAGCCCAACTATGTGTCAAATTTATGTTAACAAAGTAATCCAGCCACTTAGAAATCAAAATCCTGAACTACAAATATTTCACTATATGGATGATGTATTATTAGCACACAAAGATTATAACACATTGCTAGAATGTTATGCCACAGTTACAAACTTATTAAAAAATTGTAATCTAGAGATAGCAATAGATAAAGTACAATTAAATTTTCCAATTAATTATTTAGAGTTCTATTATCCTCAACCATGGTCTGTCCACCAAAAATTCAAATATGAGTAGATCAACTAAAATCACTTAACGACTTTCAAAAGTTATCAGGAGACATAAATTGGATAAGGCCTTATCTAGGCATACCAACAGGAGAGTTGGGACCTTTATTTGATATCCTGAAAGGTCCATCAGATCGAAACTCACCCCACATGCTAACGCCTGAAGCAAAAAAGGCATTAAAAATCATTGAAACATATATGGAAAATATGCATTTGGATAGAATTGATATAAGTTTGCCTTTATTATTTATTGTACTACCAACAAAAAATATTCCAAAGGAGTATTTTGGCAAGAAGGTCCATTATTGTGGATACATTTATCTTATTCTCCTAACACTATTCTTACTAGGTATCCTGAGGCTGTAGGACAATTAATACTCAAAGGAATAAAAGCAGCAAAGGGAGTGTTTGGAATTTCTCCCAACAAAATTATTACTCCGTATACTATGGATCAAATTGATGAGTTAGC